GAATCCCTACCAATCCTTGAAGGATCGGACCGGACCGGTCAGGATTCGATCCCAAAGGACCGATTAACATCCCTACCAAATATTAAGTTGTGCCCTCCATGACAATTATGGAAGTTTAGTTACGATATTACACATCGATTTATTTTGAAATATAAAAGTTTTTGTGCGTAAAACTAATGTGAATTATTTAACAGACAAAATTTGCATCCAAATCGATTCAATTTTGTTTTGATAAGTCTTTGAATTGATCTTTGTGGCGGTTTCGAATGTTATCAAAAGTTGAACTAAAAGCATTTGTCAAGCAAAAATATTTTAAAAATAACATAATAAAATAATTATATGTACATACTATAATCCATATTTAATGATATAAAAAAAAACAAAAAATACTAATCTTCCATAAATTCTTCGGCCAAAAATTGATAATCTAAGTTTATAGATACGGTGATATATTTTACTATATATATAAAATACGATATATATATTACATTACGGCATTATAAATACATCAAATTATTCATTACTTATATTACTACCTATATCACGACCTACGACATTATTTACTTACTACTTTTATTACAACCTATGACATATTATAATCCCCCTTCCGGAAGGGATCAAGTTGGTCTCGCCTAAATTTTCATGATAAAATTAGGCGTTCCTTAAACCAATTCATAATACAGTATAATAAATTGTAAAGAAAGAACGGCCTATTACTTCCCGTTTCTCGTAATTTTATCCCATTTCCTCGCGACAGTGTAGAACTTTGTCAATATTATTGGCCATCAAATATGTAAAAAATGTCAAAAAAAAAAAATCATTTTATAATTTTATAAGTTCTGAGAAATTTGAACAATACATATCATTAAAACAAAGCGCCAAACATAAACATATAAAAAATAAAAATAATCTAAGTAAAAAGTAAAGTTTTGTATTCTAATATAAAGCAAAATTTTATAAAATCAAAAACATTGAACATATTTCTTATCTAGTTCCTTATTCAAATAATAAAATAAAAAGCAAAAAAAAAAAAAAAAAGAAAAAGAAAGAGAAAGAAGGAACGAAAATATATTCAGTAGATTCAAAAACCGACCATGATAATTGACAAGCAAGAAGTAAGAACACGTGCACTGCAACTTTTAACGGCTCTTTTGAATATGATAATCCGGTTCTTTAAAAAAAGTTTCAAAACGAGTTTCTTGTAATTTTTTTTTGATGGCTTCGAAATAAAGAGTTTCTCCAACATTAAGAACGTATTGTAAAACGATGCGACCAGTGAAGTTCTAATAATAATAGATAACGGAAAATAATGTAGAAACTATGCATGCATTATGTTAATTTAAAAAAACAATTTTAATAATACCTGACTTAAAATTAATGTATTTGCCGCAATTGCGGACTGCACAAGGCTTTTTTGGAGATAAGTTCCGTATTCAAAACATTTCTTTACGACAAAGCAACCATGAATATCGCAAGCTGCATCAAGAATGTTTTCGCAAACTCCATGATATATAAACTAATAAAAAAGTGAATTATTTCATTAAGATTGACAAATTGATTAATTAATCGAAACCAATTAATCGAAAAATGAACGATTTAATAATACTTGTGTTAATTCAGATGGCCAAAATTCAATAGTCTTTTGAAGAACAAAATTGCCTTAATTTACGTAAAAAATGAGTTTTCTTGTAATAAATCTTTAATTTGCTTAGGCAAAAAAGAAGAACTTGAACCAACCATAACTGTCTACAATGAGGCTTTTAACATCCTTTGCAAGATAAGAGATAAGGCGAATTGCCTAAATACAAAAAAGGAATGTCAAATTATGCGCAATGCGGTCATTATGTCAAAAATCAGAAATTTTTTTTTGTTTTTTTTTTTTTACCTGCCCCTTAGTTGTAATGTTTTTGATCAAGCATTGCAATACATAATTCCCATGCGCATCTCGCGCAAGCTGAGGCACTTTATGGCCAATCAAATTAAGTATAAAATCTCGTTGAGAATCATTACAAAGAGTTATCAAACATTGACAAACATGGTTTGCGTAAGGATCTAAATAAAGATACCTTAGTATACGGAAGTTAAACAAACATAAAAAAAAGATTTAAGAATTCCATGTAACCTTTCATCATGTCGCAAAAACTTTGTGATACTTGTTCCAAGCTTTACTATTAGTCTGAGGATTTTTGATACTTATTTGGTATATTACTTTGATCAACCATTCTGTTGGATT